CAACCCTACTTGTGCCGCACTCGCCACAGAGCGCTCGCAAGACAGCCACGCGGGGGACGGGCTGCTCGAAGGCGGCGGCGCTGCTGAGAGTCGCGAGGGCTGCAGGCCTCCCTCCGCGGGTCCAGGCCTGGCCGAGCTCGGTGCGCTACCCGACGGAGCCTACAGTCAACCAGTATAGTATTAAATCGGGCGTGCCCCCCTGCAGGGGGATTTTCGACAACAGATAAGAAATACTAAAGAAATACTCCAAAATGGTCAAACATAGTCGCAAATCGTCCCCAAACTATTGTTTGACTATGTTTCAAGATTCCCCCTGTAGAGGGGCACGCCCGACTTAAGTATAGCAAGGATGCGCGATAACGGGTGCGGGCTGCGCTGGACACGTGCGCGCGCCGCGGGACGCCTCGCGTGCATCCGTGTGCGGAACAGCTGCGCATGCCAATAGCATGCTCGGTACCCCCCCCCGCGCGGACGCACTGCACGTGCGAGCAATGCGCGATCCTGGAGACGCGAGAACACGCTCGGCAATGCGCGAGCCTACAGCCAACCAGTATGCAAGGGCCTTGGGGGGCCATGTCGATGCTTCTCGAGCGGGGCGCGGCCGACGAACGTGGCCAAGGATGGGCCGAAGGGACAAGGATGCAAAGGTATCCTGGGGAAGGTTGCCCATCCTGACTGTACGGGTTGACAGTATTACGACATACACGTCGGTCGGAAGAAGTAGGTAAAACCATCAAGTAAGAAGGCGGATAAAGAATATTGTATCCGAGCCCGCCCAAGATATAACAACCCACAGCAAAATACAGCTTATTGAAATAGCTTCAAACAACAACAAACAACATCAACAGACACAACAAACAACAGCAAGGCGCTTCAAGAAGATTGGTGCCTGGGAGTCCAAGAGCACCTACTTCCAAGGACCGCATGTATCTATTTCGTTGGGAGTCAGAGTGTTAGCCAGCGTGGGCCCAAATCAGTGTACTTCTAGCAATCGATGTCGTGCAACCTATGTGGAGCAATCGATGTGGTGCAGTCTACTTGGTGCAGTCTGTGTTGTGCAATCGATATCGCACAATGTATGCTGTGAAATCTGTGTTGAGCAATGTGTGTAGCGCAACTTATGTGGTTATGTCTACGTGGCGCTAATTTGTGCTGCAATATACGTTGTGTAAACGGGTGCAAATCTGCAATCACTGTGTTCCGCAATCTGCATTGTGCAATCGACGTGGTGTAGCCTGCGTTACGCAATAGATAACAAGACCTATGTGGTGTAATACATGTTGTGCAATCGACGGTGTGCAGTATATGTGGTGCATTCGATGTTGCACAATCTAGATTGTGCAAAACTTCGTGGGACAATATATGTGGTGCAATACGTGTTGGTGCAATCTACTGTTCGCAAACATATCATGTGCAATCTCTGCTCTGCAATCGATGTAGTGCATACTACGCGGTGCGCCATGCATGTTGTGCAACCGACGTGGTGTAATCTATGTGGTACGATCTATCAGTTGCAATCGATGTGGTGCAATCTATGTGGTGCAGTCTACGTGGTGCAGTATATGTATGCGGTGCAACCTAAGCGGCGACGGGGCGGCGACGAGGCGGCGACGGCCACAACTTAGCTACCACAGCGACACACCGGCCCAGACGACGGGCGGCGACGAGGCGGCGACGAGGTGGCGACGGCCACGACATAGCCGCCAGAACCACACACCTGCCCGATTGCTCCTAACAGGGGGAAAAAACAATGCAAGCACTGTTTTGGAAACGATGCAAGCGCAACAAATGAGAAGGCTCGTGAAACGCGACCCAGGGGCAAAAGCTTACAAAACCCTCGGCCAGCACCGAACGCCATGTGCAGACTGTGGTAGCAGTGTTCTGGCCAATTTTCTGCAAAATCGCACTGTTGCCTGCAGTATTGGTAACTATGTCACAGCGGCCGGGCGGCAACAAAAAGAATACAACAAAGTGACCCGCGCGTGCATACGCTTGCCGGGCCTTGCTGGCGGTACCCGCACACATTCTCTCGCGGACACGTGCAAGGAGCTTGACATGAAGAGAGCAAAGGAATCCAAGCAGATTGGACACGACGAAAATCAGCGGATATTTCCAACGGCGCCCAGATTATAAGAAGGGCATGAAGCTCTTCGAGAGTGTTCATCGCAAACGCGCTATAATTTCTGTTCTGCGAATGGGCACCCGTGTAGGTCTCGACGTCCCCAAAACACCGGTTCGCAACACTCTTGCGTCTTGCGCTCGAAAACGCACGTTGGCCCTTCTCTAGTTTGCACATCTGCAAGGGGTCTCAAGCACTGAGAAGGAATGTCCTACAAACTGAGTGCGTATTTTCAAAAATACGTCATAGCCGCAGACATCCGATGTCTGAAAATTCTCGGCGCTCTCGCGTGCACCTGGGGCATGGTGTGTGACTTCCCCTGAGTTCTCAGGTGCGCATTTGCGACCCCGCCAATATATCCCAGGATGGTCCTGAAGCTCCGTCCTGAAGCGCTCTTGGGGGTCTCTTCCGCCGCCGTGGGGGCCCTCGGGACTGGCCTAAGAGGCCCTCAATCGTCTCACAACTTGAAATTCCTGAATGGTTGTATCACTACCGCAGTTTCGACCTGAAAGGTGTCCATGACGGCTCAATTGGCCCCCCTGATTGCCCCTAGACAGCCCCCGAGACCGCAGCAGAGGCCCAGGATGACCCGAGGAGAGGCCCACAGGGAGAAACTCCAAGAGGCCCTCAGGAACTTCCCCTGTGAAGGTGACCCCAGGGACCGCCGGCCGGTCTCCAAGATGCCCCCGACAAGCCCCCAGTAGGCCTGAAGAGGTTAGCAGTAAGGGAAGATAGGCCCATGGATATGCAAGCCCTTGTGCCTCACAATGCTGTGCTGGCACGAAATCGTGACACCACGGCTTGTGGTGGTTATTCTCATCCTCAAAATTAATATGTGTTCACCCTCTTCAGTCCACCATCTCGCTTCTCCTAATCCCTTCTCGTACGCCTCGTTTGTCACGCTGCATCACATTATGTTGTGCTCATCCGTCTCCACCCTACTCCCCCTCCTCCAGGGTCCATGCATCCGTGTCGACCATATACCTATCCGTCGATGCGCCCTCCCCTTCTCTTCTCTCTACTCTGCCATGTGCCCCTCGCCCTGTTCCGCACCGTTCTTCGATTCCGACCTTCTCTGGCATTCTGCGCCTCGTCGTCCCCATTCTTCATCCTCCTCGTTCCTCCTCCTCGTCCTCGTCCTCCTCCGGTTCCCTCCTCTGCGGTCGGGAGGGGGAGAACGAGGAGGGACATGCACGAGCATGTCTGCCAACATCGCGCAAGGAGGGACATTACTATCGGCTCTCAGTTCATTGAGCTCGCGGCAGTGAATATCTGAGCTCCCTGCGCTCCTCGTGCCGCGTATACAAAGGTTTCAGTGAAACACCTGTATGCGCGTTAGACATGAAACAAAGAGGCTTGGGTGCACAGCCGTTGGTCCCAGTGCCCATGCTGCTTACCACTTGCCGACGGTATTCACACATTGACAGAGTCATCAGACGGAAGCTACTGTCCTGGGTGCTTCCACTTGGGCGAAACATGCAATATGGGAGACGCACCGACTGAGGAAGCTCGTTCAAAGCTGCGGCCCAGAGTCCATTGCGAGGCTCAGCAAGCGCGTGGTAACTGACACCCGCTGCGCGTGGCGTGCACTTTCTCGCGGAGCACCTGGAAACGACTTACCGACCCATGAGATTGTCTTGAAAAGAGAACTGGCGTGTTAAACAACACATGACCACAAATCCGAGGTGGGCTTCAAACGACTGACCTGTGATACAGCACCCTCTGCGCAATCTGTACCCGGACAAAGCCAGGTCGACCATGCGAGGGAAAGGGGAAGGCGGCTGAGTGCGCTTGTGCCCACATGCGCCTCAAAATGCCAGCCCCATGCGAGCTCGCGGCGCCAACCAACAAATAGTTGAGCCGTGTGCGCCGGACGAGTCACCCCAACAGGGCACAAGAGTAAGCAGGATGGAAAAGGCAAGACAAGGAAGGATGGAGGATGCGGGCAAAGTAAATCCCACTAGCCCTGTTAGGGCGCGAGCGGTTTAGAGCGTTTCCTCTTCCAACCTCCCTACTTCCCCTTCGTGGAGGGATTTGCCCCTCCCCCTACCCCCTGCTCCTGGACCTGGACAGAGCGTTTCACGATCAGCTGGAGTGTCCAAAGCGGCCTCGGCGAGAAGGCCACATGTTTTGGGCCTAAGGTTTGGCCACATGTTGCTGAGGTTTGGGCCACATGTTGGCCTCCAAGGGGGGGAGGGGGGAGGGCGACGCTAATCAAGTACGCCCGCTCCGTCGATCGATCGCCTCCAAGGTGTCTCCAAGATGGCCCCCGAGGCCCGCAAGAGTGCACCAAGAGGGCCCCTAAGAGGCGCCCAGGAGGCCCCGTGGGGGCCCCCATGATGCACCCAGGATGCCTCCAAGAGGCCCCAAGAGGCCCTCAAGAGGCTCACCCGAGGCACCCAAGACTCTTCAACAGGCCCCGCGGGGCCGCCACGTGGCCTCCAAGAGGCCCCAAGAGGCACACAAGAAGCTCCCAAGGGACGTCCGACAAGACTCCGAAGAGCATCCAAGAGGCCTCTGGCCTTTCTGCTCGCCCTCCTCTTCCTCCTCTTCCTCGCGCGCCCAATCCTCACCCTCCCTCACCCCTCCTCCCTCCCCCCGCTCCCCCCCCCCTTCTCCCTCCTCCTCCTCCTCCTCCTCCTCCTCCTCTTCCTCCTGCTTCCTCCTCCCCCATCACCCTCTGGGGGCATGACGGCTTCACAACCTTTATTCTACTGCGTGCTCCCCCACATCGGGGGTTACTTTTTGGTACGCGGGCGCGCGAAGCCAAGTCGAACGCCGAGCAAGCTAGGGCGGGCGGCGCCGTAGCGAAGGAAAACACGCCTGTGGGGTTTCGCGAAGCGTCTAGAGTTTACCATTGTTGACTTGGCAATTCTGGGTTCTAGATAACATGTTTGGAAGTTGCGGTGTCACCTGGACGTGCATGCCGAGATGGTAATTCGTCAAGCATATTCGAAAACTCCAACAGATCGATCTCGCCATTGCCGTCTGTGTCGTGCCGTTTCATGAAGTCGGCAAGCTCCTTCTCTGAAAGTGTCGCGCCCAGCGAGCGCATGGCCAAGCGCACCTCCTCCTTGTCGATCTGCCCACTCTTGTCCGAATCGAAAAAATCGAAGATCGTGCGCACCACCATCTTCCATTGCTTCGGTGACCGCTTCACGACCTCCAAAAAAACGTTACCATCCAACTCCAACACCATGGCCCTCTTCCGGCACACCACGCTCGCGGCCCTCGGCCTGTCGTAGAGGATGGCGAGCTCGCCAACGATGTCGCCAGCGCGCACCGTCTTGACGACGGCGTCTGTCCCGTTGATGGGGACCATACAGTCGAAGGCGCCCGAGACAACCAAAAACATGGAATCTCCCTTCGCCCCCATCGTGATGATACTCTCGCATGGCTGGACCACCCGGGACCTCATCGCACGGATGACCAGCGCCATCTCTTCTTTGCCAAGGGACCGAAAGAAGAGGCTCTTGGACAGATAGCCCCTGATGATCCTCGTGGACGGGGGCGTCTCGGGGTGGACGTCCGTGGCCGAGGTCAGCCTCGCCAGCGAAGCTCCAGAGAGTCTCCTCCTCAAAGCCTCTGAAAGAACAGGGAGATACCGATACCGTAGCTCCCCCGACCATTCCAGTGTCGGGAGCGGCCAAGAGGGGGGGGTCCAAGAGGGGGGGGTGCAAATCATGACCGCCATGAAATCTGGGGGACTATCATGGCCCACGCCAGGATATCCCCCCCCCCCTAGTCATCACCCCCCTCTTTTCCGCCCCCGACCGACCATTCCATTGGTGCGCTGCGACCGGGGTTCCGGGACAAGCTCAGCCCTGCGGACGAGGGCGCCACAGGAGGCCGAGAAGGGCGGAAACGAAGGAAGGGCATCGGCCCGGCGGCGATACAGTCGGGGCCTTGACCTGAGGAGCCCTAAATAAGGAACGGGGCCCCTTTTTTCCATAAATGAAACTTCGATCTCCGATCGGAAACATAAGGAAAACCTGAGGCAAGCTGCGAAGCGCTCAAGGAACGCGGAGCCCCTCCCCAACAAAAAGGGTTCCTTCTTCAGGGCCCCGACTGTACCCGAGGCCAACCCCCGCCAACTATCGAGCCCCCTGAATCGATGACGGGCGGGGGTAGAGCACGGAGTTCGCCAAGTGCTCGGCGAATTCCGGCTCTCGACGTGTTGCCTGAAGCCGTTGCTTGGTGAGGGCAGGGTGCGGACTCAGGCTGGACCTAAACGTTGTTTTTCGTTTTGTGTCTGCTTAGCTGTTCGTTCTGCTCTACTTGCTTTCCTGTACTTCCCTCCCAAAGCGAGAAAGAGAACGCAGCCGAAGCCCAGCAACACAGCGTTGAGGTCCAGCCCCGGTGCGGACTTCGCCGCCGCCGATCGGTATGCACTGCTTTTCCGACCAGCCACAACCGGGGGAGCTGTGGTCCTTACCCCCCTGGGGGAACCCATCGCATCAACGATCTCTCGAGAGGAGTGTCGAAATCGATGGTTCCCCCAGGAGGGTAAGCTTAAGTTGGGCCTGTCCCTCTGCAGGGGGACTATTCAAGAATAGTCAAGAAATAGTCTGGGGACAATTTTCTGAATATGTTTGGGCATCCTTTGAACATTGTTCCGTCCACAATCCCCCTGTAGGGGGGACAGGCCCGACCCAAGGGTAAGGACCACAGCTCCCCCAGCTGTGGCTGGCCTGCCTCCTCCCCCTGCCGAGCCTCGCCCACGCTCGCCGTGGGCCCCGCGGAGGCGCCCAGGAGCGAGCCGAGCGCACGCGTGGCCGCGGCGGCGCAGAGCGCGCCCAGCAGGGGCGCGGCCCCGCGGGCGCGCCGGGGCGCGGACGCGGCCGGCCAAGCGAGCCCCATCGGGGCGCCCGCCCTGGGCTTGGCGCAGGGGCCGGCCAAGAGGGGGGCGTCCGCGAGGTAAAACGACGCGAAGATCGGGACAAAATCGGATCGGGATAACTCGAAATCTCTGAGAATCGGCGGGTTTGGAGGATGTATTGGGCGCCGCGGCCGCTCCAGAGCGTTCCGGAACGCTCTGAGAGCGCTCCAGAACGCTCTGGAGCGATTTATCCCGATCCTAGCCCTGTTTTGACGGGGGGGGGTGTAAATCATGGCCAGCGGCATAAGCGCGGCCCAGCGGGGGGGCCAGGGACGCAATGAGATACGCGGAGGCGCCATGAGATCTGGGGAGACAGCATGGCCCCCGCCATGATATCCCACCCCCCCTAGTCATCACCCCCCTCGTTGCCGCCCCCGAGTTTTGCGCAGGGGCCGGCCGTCGCGGTGTTTGCTGCAAGCTGCCGCAGGGCTGAACCTAAACGGTCATTTTCGTTTTCGTTTTGTTTTCGGTGTCCCTCGTTTTGTTTTCGTTTTCGTTTTCGTTTTCGTTGTGTCTTCAATCCACCTCTGCCGCTAGACGAAGTCGAGACGGAAACGGCCCACGACGTCGCCAAAACGCCGTTTAGGTCCAGCCCTGAGCTGCCGCACGGCAGGTTCCTGGGGCCACGAGATGCCCTGAGAACAGGACGGTGCTCTTGGGACATGCTGCCGACGCGTTGGAACAGGACTCTCTCGGCCAGAGACGGTCCAGGAGCATCTTCATCAAACCACACAGGGTCACACAATCCACGGTAAGGACGCAAGCTGAGGATGCAAGACCACTGGAAGACCCACTTACCATTTAGAGCTCCTCTGACGGCAACATTATCTCAGGATGGGCCGACGAAGTAGGGGTACAAGAAAGCCTTCATGAAGCAACGCATCCGTACGATGAATGTTGCCTGTGCTCTTAACATGTTTTGGTGTGCCTGCAGGCAGGCCTGTACGCTTCGTCTCTGCTCGATGGGTGGCAGCGGCCCCGGGCGCCCGCCCACCGCGGCGCGACACACACAGACCCCTCGCGCCCGAGGTCTCGAGTCAGAACGGCTGCGGATGGCTTTGGGCCGCGCTGCCGAGGCCTTGTTCGCTGATCGCATGGCCGACGCGCCCTGCGGGCTCGTCTGCCCCACACGATTGCCGACACGCCGTGCGAACTTCTGCCATGGCCTTGCGCCTGCCGCGCCTGCCGCCTGGGCGCTGGAGAAGGCAGGGTCAGGGGCTCCGCCCCAGCAGGAGGTGCAACGCCTCTCGGAGGGTGCGCGGGGCAGTATCTTCAGAAGGGGCGGTCCCCCCCCTAAGGAGCACCCCGCCTTCTTCGAAGGTCCCCCCCCTCGCCGTGGCCCCATCTCATCGCTGCCACCATCGCCACGCACGCTGCGCGCGGCTCCTCTATGTTCCGCACGGCCACGTCGACGCCGTGGGCGGGCAGCCCAAGCGAGTTCAAAGCGCCCCCAGACAGCGGAAGCGGTGTCCAGGCGTTGCCGCTCAGCAGCCCACCCCACATGGGGAACAGGTTGCCCGTGTGAGGCTCGCTGAGCACGGTGCCGACCACGGCGAACCCTGCCCCGAGGTCGAAGCTGAAGTCGAGCAGCGTGGCGTCCTTGTCCAGCCCAGCAGAATTCCCGAGATCGCCGCGGAACCGCAGCCCCAGGACCGTGGTCGGGCTCGGGAACTCGGCGACCCTTGGGCCGCCCCCGTGCGCCATCAGCCAGAGGAACATCGTCCTGGAGGACGAATAGATCCACACGAACACGGAGTGCGGCAGGATGCTCGCCAGGGTGGGGCGGGCCTTGTGGTCCAGCCTCGCCAGGGTCACGGCTGCCCCGTCGCGGTAAGACAGCGCCGCAAAGCAAGCGACCCCGCCAGCCGCGCCGGCCGTTACCGCCCGCCGCATCGCGGACGCAACTGGCCTCGCGCCAGCGGACGGCGCGGACAAACGCTGGCCCGCGGCAGCGCGGTCACCCGCGCAGGCGAGACGCCGAGCAGCCTGCATCGCTGCTGCGCGGCAACGGGCGCGCGGTGTCGTGCGCCAGGGGGTGCCGCCTGGGGGCTGGCCGGACCGGCGAGCCCGCTGCAGAAAGGACAGAGACAAATGCTTACAACCCCAATCCAACACGCATGCAGACACGGACGTAATCACACACTGACAGGCACGAAGACAGACAACCACACGTACACAGACGCAATGAGGCGCAGACACACAGACGCGGACAGACAGACACGGACGGACGGACAGACAGGCAGACAGGCAGACAGGCAAAAAGACACACGCACACGATCAAACTCGCGTTTGTGCAGACACTATCGGGCGGGCAGAAGCGCGGCGCGCACCTCGACTCACTTCCGCGCTGTGTCGGCGCGGTGGGGGGCGGCATGAGAAGACTACTCCACGCCTGCATGGACTGATCAGCAACGTGGTAAACACATCATGAATATCTCGCGGCCCCGCGACCCCTCCTGCCCGATGTGCCACGTAAGGTTCGACTCGGAAATAGTTAGCACTGGAAACTGGTGTCGTCAATGGCCCAATTGCGGAAAAACGATCCGCTGTAAAGGACTGGAAGGATCACACGAGTTGAGGTGGGAATGTTCCCAGCCCGCCCATCCACCCCAGCCCGTCCTGATCGTCTGCTCTGTCCCACTGCTCGGGAACGTCGCTGCCCGCCGTCCCCGTTTACCCGCTCCCGTTTGCAGGGATTGGGGCTAGGCGGCCTTATGCTCGATATGACTGTGGATCTGAACGCGCTGTGAACCCCATTGGCGCCCTCAAGTGATCCGCAAACCATCCGCCTGCTCCTCCTCCTCCTCCTCCACCTCCTCCCCTTCCCCCTCCTCCCTCTCGTGCTAACAGATGGTATAACCATTGGCGTAACTAGGGCGCTAACTAATGGACTCAAAATCTAGACTAGTACCATTACTGATGTTATCAATCTCAGAAACCGCGCGACTCGCACACGAGAAACGGAAAGGAACAGTCGAGAACGGCTGTATCGGCTACACGCAGGAGTGACCCTGGTTAAGAGTGATCTTTGGTGCGCGACTTTTTGGGGTTCCGCGGGGGGACCGAAACTTGGCGCGCAAGCAGCTGCTACTGCGGGACCCATCTGTGCCCGCACCACATGTCACTCTGGCGAAAGGTCACTCTTACGCCTAGTCGGCTGTACTCTCGCAACGTGCTTTTCCAGACGCTTGCCGTCATGGCAGCAACCTCCGACCAATGGAGGCTTCTTCGTGCACGCGCGTGCACGACGCGTCTATGCACCTATCGCGCGCCCACACCTGTCTGGGGCGGCCTCGTCGGCGGATCGGCAGTGACTCTTAAAGACCTGCATGTCGTTAATTTCTCATCGTGCCCAGATCGTTCGATTTTGCGCTGGGCGCTGGGGGCGCCCTAGAGCAGAGATGCGCGGTCCGTCTGCGTTAAGCTTGGCTGGGAGTCGGTGCCAGCCCCGCCCCCGGAAACAGCTGCTGATCGGCCAGGGACTACGATAGCGGCGCTGCCCAAGATCGCCAAGTTGAGCGCGAGGACGGTGTACACGTCGTTCATTTCTAACCGTGCTCATTTCTCATTGTGGTCGTATCTAATTGTTCATGGCCCCCCAGTGACTAGAGGCCAGGAAGAGGCCCAGGATAGAATAAGCAGAAATGAAAGGATCTTGCCCCCCCAAAAAATCAAAGAATTTCCGAATACCAAGACGACCACCCTTCGGGTGATAAGGAGGTTCGGGGGGGGAGGAACCAACGTCTCACTCGATCGGTCTCACTATCGATCCCACTATCGATCTCACTATCGGTCTCGCTCGATCGATCTCACTCGGTCGATCTCACAATCGATCTCAATTGATCTATTTCATTCGATCGATCTCACAATCGATCTGACTATCGATATCACAATCGATCTCACTATCGATCTCACTATCGATCGCACAATCGATCTCACATTCGGTCTCACTATGGATCTCACTATCGGTATCTCAATCGACCTCACAATCAACGTCATCATCATAATCAACAACATCATCGTCATCGAAGTCATCAACATCATCATCAATATCAACATCATCACCATCTTCATCGGGACACCATCATCATCATTACCTCATCACCATCATCATCACCATCATCATCACCATCATCGGGACACTATCATCTTCACCATCATCACCATCATCACCATCATCACCGGAACACCATCATCATCATCATCGGAGCACCACCATCACCATCATCACCACCTCCTCCTCATCATCAACATCGTTAACATCATCATCATCACAGTCATCATCTGGACACCACCATCATCACCACCATCATCATCATCATCATGATCATGATCATGATCATCATCATCATCATCATCAGCAGCATCATCAACAACATCATCATCATCATCATTATCATCATCATCATCATCGGGACACCGACGGGACACCGGCGGGACACCAGCGGGACACGCCACCGGACGCCCGTCCGGAATCATTTGGTCCGTCCGCGCCTCATCCAGAGGCGGGACACCGGCGAGACACCGCGGGCCACCCGACGCCAGTCTGGAATCGTTTGGTCCGGTCGCGCCTCAGCTACAGGAGACTTTCTTCTCGCCCGCCCACGGAGCTTCGCCTCGTCCGCCCGCACGGCACGCACGAACACGAAACCAAAATCGATTTACCGCTAGGGGGGCTCTCCGTTCCACTTCGATCTCACCCCCTCACCTCCGACTTAGAAATGAACAATGTGTACGCTTCCAAGCTGACGCTGGGGTGGGGGGATATTCAGTGGGCCACAATAACAACGAAGCGATGCAGGTGCAAGTTGCAAGTCGATGCTCAGGCCACCGGGCCTCACGTTACGCAGACCGCGACCAACGACAACCCACGCGCTATCGCACGCCCCTGAAAAGCAGCTTGCCAGCCCAAACCGCGAAGAACGCCCTTGCGATAAGGCGAAGATCTATGGCGCCATGCCGTTACAAACAGTGACGCGCTTCACGTTTGATGAACACAAGTGCTCACGGATTCTGCTTCTGCCCCCGCGCAGAGCCTTGGCGAGCGCGGGTAAGCCCGACGTGTATCATGGAAGGGAGGCGGGCTGAGCCAGCGATCTCGCAAGCTGGGCCAAGGTCACCTTCGGAACGCTCGACTAAAAGGACTACTCCGACAGGTGGCCTTCGCTACCGGCCACTAGCTCTGGCTTTTGGCAGTGAAATCACAGCACCGCTGTGCGCTACTCCCCGGAGCTCCCCCTGGGCACGTCCTGACCAGGACTCCCGAGGAGAACCCCGTCTGACTACCTACCAGACCACCCCAACCCAACCCGAAGACACGAATTTGACCCGAATTTCGGTGGGGGCGGTACGGGTTCCATTTGTTTTTTCGAAGTTCCCCGAACCCCCCCCACTGGAAATGGAGGGCAAATTGAGGCAGTCGGGTTGGGTTTGCGGTGGTTTGGTGAGAGGTGACCGTCGTGCTGACGAGGGCCCTCCCAGGAGGCCCCCGAAATGCACAGCCGATGATGACCCAATACGACACCAGCACCCCTGACGGCGGCACCCGCGGGAATCCCTGGCAGGCGGGGCGTGGGCACCCGGGGTGAGCGTGAGAATTCGGCACCCTTCGAGGCTGGCGTTCAAGCGTGGGCTGCTCCCGAAAGATCTCACCCCCAGTCTCAGGTTCCTCCCTTCGTACTTACGGACCACATCCCAGAAATAATGTCGAGCACCCGGAAAAGTGTCGAAAAAGTGACGACGCAGAGTCGGAACAGTGCTGGACGAGCGTCTCCCAGGGCCCGACACGTGAAAACCCTCGAGTTTCGGTACTTTCTTGGGCGCTCGAAATTCTTTCTGGCGATCAAGGCTAAAGTAGGCTGGAACATCATAACCCCAGTCTCAGCGCCCATTCAAGATCGGCGTCGACACTGTCCCGCGACGTCTTGACCATGCCCATTGTGCTTCCCTCGACGGACTGCCGCCGACACCCATGGGACGGCACAGCGAGGCGCCCAAGACAGCTTCCGACGGCGTCCGACGGGCCAGGAACGCCCTAAGACAGCCAAAAAGGCTTCCAAGAAGCCCCGAAGAGGCTTCAAGACCTTTTCAAAAGGACTCCTCCTACGACGGCCCCAGGAGGGCCCCAAGACAGCCCCACAGGCCTCCAAGCGAAACCCGAGCACCATCAGCAGCGCCCCGCATCGGCGGCACTGGCCAGAGGCCAATACCATATACCTACCTATACGACCACCTTTCGGTTGATAATGAGGTTGTGAGATGGGGGGGGGAGAGGGGGGGAACCAACATCTGGCTCAATGGATCTCACTGTGGATCTCACTCAACGGGACACCACGGGACCCCACCCGCTAGGGGTCTCCGTTCCACTGCGATCTCACCCCCCAACCTCCGATCCATGCCCTCCGCACTGCCGGGGTCGCCCCGCAAACCTCGGTCCCCCTGGCGGTGGCCGTGGCCGAATCCCTGCCCTGGACCTTGCCGTCCTCCTCTGCCGCCCTGGCCTGCCCTGGCCTGCCCTGGCCTGCCCTCCCCCCATCGCAGTCGCACGGGCGTCCATTCCGCGAGGGAAAATTAGCCTGGCGAAGGACCCAACCATATGCAGTTGTGAGTAATGCTGGTGTGAGTACCGTCTTCGGTGGATCTCCCTATGGGGCCACGAACCGTTTGAGGGGTGTGCCGAAATGGGTGTGGGGGCGGCATGCGAACGTTACCACTGGGGCCTTCGGTGGAGCTCCCTATGGGGCCACGAAACGTGTGAGGGGTGCACCGAAGTTGGTGTGGGGGCGGCATGCGAACGCAGCCACTGGGGCCTTCGGTGGAGCTCCCTGTGGGGCCACGAAACGTGTGAGGGGTGTGCCGAAATTGGTGTGGGGGCGGCATGCGAACGCAGCCACTGGGGCCTTCGGTGGAGCTCCCTATGGTGCCACGAAACGTGTGAGGGGTGTGCCGAAATGGGTGTGGGGGCGCATGCGAACCCAGTCACTGGGGCCTTC